CATTCAAAGGCTTGAAATGCTACCGTTGCAATGTTCTCCACAGGATATAGATATTTTTTCTGAGGTCAAGTAGGCACAGGGAAGTATTAGCATCAAATAGCTGGTGTGGCATGTTGTATGCATGGAGGGTACACCAGCAAGATGTCTATATGATGCAAAAGTGAAGATACATATCTTACTTGGAGAGTTATCTCTTCAGCTATGCTTTAAATTGGCGGGTTTCTGGGACTTAAACCTCAAATTGAAAAGACTCTCGGGACTACCAGGGCAACTTTTTGATATAATGCATGAACCCAACTTGCCGAAAAGCACCTTTAACTTGAACAAATGTTTTTGACAGGAGCAATTTTTTCTTCCTGTAACAGGAGATTGGGTTAATCTCCACCATCATCGACAGGGAGAAGGCTCCCATTCAGAGCTTAATGGCTGATATCAGAGAAATAATGTCGCATGTGGATTTTGCTATATGTGCATATGCAGAAGTGAGACGAAGGTTCGTCAGCGGAGGTGCTGAACTTGCATATTGTGCTGGATCTTCAAGCGCTCCTACTGATTTCAGCCGGCACTCGACAATGGCCCGAACCTTTCGTAACTGTTATGCTTCTGTATATCGGCCTTCTCTCTTTATGCAACACATTGTTGAAAGATTTGAGAAGCAGCTTGAAGAATGTTGCAAATCGATTGGAGAGCTAGAGCAGCTTGTTCAAACGAAGAATGATAAGACCCATCCAGCTTCTTTGAAATCTCTGCCAAAAGTTATGGCGAATGTGCAGGATTATCTTATCTATGTTGCTTCTAAGGTAATATACCTTTCACACAATATCCTTGTTTGGCAACTATAGTTTGATGCTTTCACAGAGAATGGAGCTTATCTGACATTTTTGTTTTGTCCAGGTGGAAAATCTTCATCAACATGCCGAAACATTAAGAACTCAATATCTTAATGATCTGCGAAACTGTGGTAACTGGAATGATCCATTTGTTGAAGCGGATAGAAAAGAGGCAGCGAAACAAGAAGCTGCTGCCAGAATAGTCCATCCAACATTGCCTGTAACTGTAAGTAAACCTTTTGTATAGCAGTTCTCACAAATAACATCTCATATAGTCAGGTTAGTAAACATTGAATTTTATGTAGCAGTTCTCAAAATTAACATATCACGTGCGTCATGTAACTTTGGTTCTCATCCTATCCTTGACTGGTCTTCCAATTTACATTTATTGTCATTCTCATGTGTAATTCACACAGAGTGGTAACACCCGAAGCAGGCGCCAGATGTGTAATTGAATCAGCTTCAGATCAGTCCTTTGTCATGTATGTCCTTTTGTCTCCATCCCTCTTCCCTCCTTTTTTGTTTTACAGCAGCTTGTGATTAACATGTTTAATGAGCAACTGTAGCGGAGTTGTCTGAATCTAGCTTCTAAGGGTAGACTTCTCTTCTAGATATGTAAAAATACCTGGTAATGATGTTGAAATCTGTAGGACTCTTGTCTTCTAAAAATCTGTAGGGCTCAATTTATAAGTAGGTGGCTATGGCCACCTCAGTTTTACTTCTTTCTGTGGCAAAGCTAAAATTGCATCAGCAGTTTAGCCCATTTAAAGTTTAAAACACCGACATCGATTTCTGTAGATCAATCACCAATGAAACCTTTTTGAGTCTTCCAACAGCTCAGAATGTAATCGAACTTTTGAATTGACTGCAACCTCCGTCCTGAAAAGATTGTCTTAGATTTGTCTAGATACCTTTTCGGGACGGAGGGAGTATATTATAATCTTCTTTGACCAAAGCTGAATATTAATGTATTGACTGTGATAATCCATGTCATGTTTGAATTTGACACATAAATGATCTTATCGTGGAGCCTTGCACTTGAAGCGTTGATTAGCCGTTACGCGTTTAGGTTGTGAGCCGGGAATCGGGATACAAGATTCGTATCACAAAATAAAATGAAATTTCATGTGACTGTGAAATCTTCCATGCTATCTGATTATAAATTCCATCAGACATGGAACGTTGAAGGTGTTTTTGGTCAAACAAAATTTAGGAGTTGAAGGTGATTGCTGTCGAGGCTTCTCACTGAATGGTTTCGATTAGTACTCGGTGAACTTCTCCACACGGTAAGGACTTGGGTAAACTGTATTTGAAAAATGTCTAGGGCCACACTGTTTGCCGTCCACATGACTTTTGGCATGCATGATGCATTTGATGCTTCCGTTCTTTCTTCCCTTTTTTCCCACTTTTGCGGAATAAACTATTCTACCTTTCCGAGGTGGTATTTGCTTTTTTCTTTACTACTAGGAGCTCCAGCTTGTCAGGGTTTCCAAAGTGCTGAATTACATGCTTCTGTTGCTTTTCTTTTTTCAATTTTTGAACGGTACAGTGTCCGTTGCTTTGTTGAGAACAGCCATATAGTATGTTGCGACGGAGTCAGAGAAGGTTCTTACTCGGTTATGGCACGTTATCGTATTCCATTATCAAATTCTGGTGGTCTGCCCTCTTGCCTTGCCATTTCCTCATTCGTTGTATATGCAGTAATATTGCCTTGTTGGCCAGCGGGAACGTAAGCGCTGACGGCAGTTCATATGTCATACACCGCAAGGATAATCGGGACTTTTAGCTGTTTGACATTTTGCTACTTGACTAGTATTTCAGTATGTGGTCGTGTGTGAACCAGAGCCATACTTGTCATTGACCCAACCTTGCCCAACGACCATCTCTGAATTTTTCTACAGTATTAATAATAACTAACCAGCCTACAGCGCCATCACGACGGGTGGATTTCAGTCTGAATTTATCTAGTACTACTATATATCTGTTGTTCAATTTGTCTATTGCAAACCCTGGTGGCGTGTTGTGGCTCAAGACGGGTGGGTGGATCTAACAACTGTGTTGCTTGAATCGGCCTTGTAGGTTGTTGCTCGTGGGCGGCAATGGATGGCGTGCGTGATCGGTGACCTCGACTGCGACCGGGGAAGGAAGCTGCGGAGAAGCAACCAGTTGGGAACGAACGAGCGGTCAACTTTAGCTTGCTTGGCCTGGCTTTTAGGAGGAGGGGAGGAGACGGTGGCACTTGGTGTATTCTAGTGCGAATATGTGCGCTTCAGGTCGTTGTCCCAGTTGAGATGTGGCACGATTCAGTCGGGTCGTACTGGTTCCCTCCCGGCTAGTGGCTGCTGCGACAGGAGGCATCCCGATTTGCTACGTTCTTTGATTCCCAGCCTGGGATTCTCTGTTTTTCCTTTTGGCATCTATACCTAGTTTTTTTTTTGGGGTTTTTTTTTTTTAGAAATTCTTCATCCAAATTACGAATCAGTACAAAGTAGTTGACTCTTACAAGCACACTGAAACGCAAACACAAAGGACCATGAACACCTAGAGTACCTTAAGACAACCATAACACAAGAAGATCTCCGGAGCCCTGTGTCATCATCCCTGAATCTTGAGAGAAGACCCCTGCAGCAGAAGAATCTGCAACCAGTCGCAAAAAGGTCATCATCTTCAACCACGGTATAATTGCCGCCACACTGCTCCCTCCTTTCTTGACACCATCGCTGAGAGGGCATGGACATCAATCCAACACACCTGCAACAGTCGTCGCCATTTTTGGCTTTGAGTACCGCGAAAAGTGTCCCTTCCGAAAGGAAGAGAACTCGAGTCATCCGACCGGTCCAGCACCGCGGCCGGGCCATCTGCCCGGACAAAGCAGGATCTCCCACCAGCATCAGCGCAGAGGAAGGAGAAGAACAACAGCAACAAATCATACCAATAAGGAAGAAGAAAGGTCTTCGTCTCCCTGCATCCATCGCCCATCTGAGGATCCAAACGGCCAGTGCCAATGGACCTCCAACCACCATAGCCCGCGACCTCGACAAGATCCGGGGATCCCCAACACCGCTGGCTCCTAGACGAAGGCAAAAGCCTCGCCTGGCCGTGAACGAAGCCCGGAGAAACTTATTCCAACGCGACACCACCGCAACGGCCTCGGCAGCGTCTCCCTCAATCCTAACCCTACCACACGCCCACCTAAAGAACAGACCCGGGGTTCCCCCTCCCTCCCGCCACCGGAGCGGCCGACGGAGAGAGAGGGAACCGGCGAACCATGTGCACAGGTGTGTTAGTGGATCGTAGATGTGATTACTATGATCAGATGGGTAGATAGGGATAAAAGTTGCGCAGAAACTGTACAGGAGTTGACGGGGAGCAGCAAACTCCCTCAAAATATTGCTTACGATGTGTGGATATAACAGTTACAGAAGAAAAAAAAGTGGATATAACAATTCGGTTACCATCTGTTTTTGCGCCTCGTTTGAATTGATCATGGGTTGTGAAAACTGTATTCTCCGTGTCACTCGTGCCGGAAAATTCGATTTATTGTTTTTCGTCTCTTCAGCACAGTGACTGTAAAAAAAACTTTGTGAAGAGAAATTTTCTTTCAGAAGAGTCACAATCGCACGTGGAGTAACAACCAAATACAACACGGGTAAAAACGAGATGGCCCAAATAACAGGAGATTCACCGCTCTGTTCAATTTTTTTTGGTTGAAAAAATCCGGCCAAGTTGGGGCCAGGGCCAACCGCAATCGGAAAAAGATCTCCAAAATCCTGGCGGCCCGCACGCTGCCACGCATCCCAACAGAGCATAAAGAAGCCGCCGCTCACCCTCCCTCCACCTTCCATCTCCCACTTCTCCGCCCCCCTCGCCCCCTCCGCCGTTGACCTCGTCGGCCACCGCCGCCGACGAGGCCTCCTATCGCCCAAGACCTATCCCCTAGGCACCGGCCCCTTCATCAATCTGAAGGCCCCCTCCTCGCCCCGGCGAGCCGTGTCAGCATCCGACTCCGCCGATCCTTCCGAACCCTAGATCCCCTGGGCACCCGATCGCGCGCCCCTTCCGGAGGGGCGCCGTCCCGATCGCCCCGGAGGAAATGCTCCGCCGCGCCCCGTGAGATCCGGCCGCCAAGACTCGACCTTTTCGGCCCGCGAGGCGGCGTGACGCCGCGCGATGGCGATCCGCATGACCGTCTCCTACTCCGGCTACGTGGCGCAGAGCCTAGCCTCCACCTTCGGCCTGCGCTGCACCACCGCCGCCGCCGCCGGCTCCGGGGCCGCGCCCGGCGCCGGCTGCCGCGTCCTCCAGGACGCGCTCTCCCGCCCCTTCTGCCTCTTCGCCTCCTCGCGCCGCGTCGAGCAGCACAATGACGCCGAGGACCACAACCACCCCAAGCCCAAGCCCAGGCCCAAGCCTCTCCCACCCGCCGCCGCCGGGAGCAGCAGCCCCACCAAGGCTCTCCCCGCAGCCGCCGGAGGCAGGCAGCTGACCAAACTCGTCCCCGCCGATGGGGGCAGCTACTCGCTGTTCGTCTCGCCGTCTGGTTCGACGAAGGCGGATGACCCGCCGGCATTGCTGGCGGTGGGTTTGCTGTCGGTGCTGGCATCTGGGGTCGGCTCAGGCCCTGGCATCGCCGGCGTGTCCTCGCTGTCGGCGTCGCCGTCGATATCGTCCGGGCTGAACCCCGCCACGCTGCTCCCGTTCTTGCAGGCCACGAAGTGGCTTCCTTGTAGTGATATCATCACCGGTGCGTCGTCCCGCAGGTCGGTACGCCCTGCCGATGTGTCGACCGCACCATCCACACATGTGCCTTCGCGTCGCCCTTCGCCTTCGTCTGTGCCCTCCCCTGCGGTGGCTGCCCCTTCGAAGGCGGGCATGATGGCCTTGCTTGGTAGCAGCGGTGCCGCGGCTGCCCCCGCCAAGATGGGCGTCAAGGCATTGTTTGGAAGCAGCGGTGCGGTGGCTGCCCCTTCCAAGGTGGGCAGCGTAGTAGCGCCGTTAGTTGGTAGTAGTGCAGTTGCTTCTGGTGCTGCTGGGGTGGTGAGGCAGAGCAGTGCTGCTCTTGGTGGTGCTGCTGGCGTGGTGAGGCAGAGCAGCGCTGCTCTTGGTGCTGCTGCAGGGGCGAGCAAGAGAACTAGCTGGCTGTCAAGGTGGGTGAACTCCTGCTCGGATGATGCAAAGACCGTCCTTGCTGCTGTGACTGTACCGCTGCTCCATAAATCCTCCCTAGCGGAGCCGAGGTCCATCCCTTCGAAGTCGATGTATCCAACATTTGATGTTGGTGACCGGATTCTAGCCGAGAGGGTACAGTTAACTCCCAGTCTTCCATGAGTAGCAGTTTCCTGTGATCTGTGTCTGCTGATGGTGCATACTTGCAATTTGCAGGTTTCATATATTTTCCGGGAGCCTCAAGTTTTGGACATTGTGATCTTCCGTGCACCTCTGGTCCTTCAGGTATGATGATTCAGCTTGTCTTCTTACTTATCTCTGATTCATGATGATGAAATATGTTATAATTTGGACTTATTTACTGCAGGCATTGGGCTACAGCTCAAGTGATGTGTTCATCAAGAGAGTTGTGGCAAAGGGCGGGGACATCGTTGAAGTAAGCTTTTATCCGAAGGGTAGTGGCTTCTATTTGTTTTCATTCCCCCTCTTATTTCTTTTTGTTGTTGGCATGAGTTATAATCATTTGTATCCTCCTTATCTCAATAGGTGACTGATGGTCAATTATTAGTTAACGGAGTCGTCCAGGATGAGGACTTTGTGCTCGAGCCACCTGATTATGAAATGGACCCAGTGGTACGCCATCTTTGCTTCCTGCATCGTACTAATGATCAAATGTTGTAGCTTACAAAATCACAAATTTGATGATACCAACTTTCTATCATTAAACTGTTGAACCTCATATGTAATGAAGGTATAATGTGCTGACATATTTGTTGCTTAAAATGTTAAATTAGTTGTGTTTTTAAGTTGATATAATGTGACATGGAACTCACTGGTCCACTGGTAAATTCGTGGTCCATAAGAGCTTACATGACTTGATCATAAAGCAAGTAGCTCCATTTTCTGAAATGAGTTTACGCTGGAGTATACATATTGATCAGTTGTTATTTGCTTTTTCCAGAGTGTGCCTGAAGGCTACGTGTTTGTGCTAGGTGACAACAGAAACAACAGCTTCGATTCCCATAACTGGTATGCCAAACCTCTGTGGAGGATACCTGCTTGATGTCTTGAGACTAATTTCCAGGACATGTAGCTCATGTGCTATGTTTGTCATTACAGGGGACCGCTACCCGTGAAGAACATTCTTGGGAGATCTGTGCTTCGATACTGGCCACCGTCGAAAATAACAGATACAATCTACGACCACATTGACCATGATGTGGTTCATGGCATGGCAGGCATCTCCTGAGATGCACGGTTGGTTCGGCAATGCTAAACCAACCCATTTTTTTGGCAGAGAATCACTGATGACCTCTGCTGCATTTTTTTTCTCCTCTAGCTATTTATTTGATTGATGTCGCCTTGCACGTAATGCCTGGCTGACTCTCAGTTTTCCCCCTGCCCTACCAGCAGATGCTTGTTTAGAGGCAACAATTCTTGTACTGTAACCAAAGGTCTGGCTCGCCTGTTGAATGAGCATCCATGGCAGCGCATGGAAATTTTGTTATGTTTGGCACAAGGAGAGTTGGTTGATCTGTTTCAGATCATAATGTATAAGAAGCAGAAAGCATGCCATATTGTTCATCCTGTTCCTTGTAGAGTTTTGGTTTACCATCTGAATCCGACATGTTTGTTTGACAAAGGAAACCATGGCCAATTTTTATTTTTATTTTCGAAACGGCCAATTTTGGAACGTGTCTTATCACAGGCGATGTTCTGGCCTTCGATGTTGTTGATTGTGATACGTAGTTGTGGCATTTTTGTAATAATTGTGAGTTGTTGGTAAGAAATGATATGTAGTGACTTTTCAGCTTTTAGTATGTTGGCCGCATGGGCGAGATGTTTGTTTAGCAGTACACTTGACAGCCAACTGAGCGAGTACAAAATATGTGCTTGCCTGTTGTTGATTTTGATCTTGCATTCAAAGAAACTTATCTTTGTTTGAGCAAGTATGTGAAGGATTCTTGTAGCTGTCAATTATTTGAAAGAAATATGGGCAAAATATGTGCTTCTGTGCTGTTGATTTTGATCTTGTATTCAAAGAATCTTTTATCTTTTGAGCAAGTATACAAAGGATTATGGTAGCTGTCAATTGTTCAAAGAAATATGAACACCTGAGCTTATGATCCTTGCTAAAAGATCTATGAGATCGCGTGCTTCTGTCAAAACATTGAACTAGCAGAGATCAAAAGAAAGACTCAAGCTTGTATCCATTAGCCGTTGTTTCTTCTAAGACAGCCCTCCCTTTTTCTTTGCGGTGTCACTTGTCTAATTTTCTGTGTGCGTGATGGGAGTGATGAATGTTCTTTTTTTCTCAAGAGAGTGATGAATGTTCTTTTTTTCTCAAGAGAGTGATGAATGTTCTTCCTTGCCACATTAGAAACAAAATCAAGTGTTATCAATGTTTCAATACTGACCAGTTCAAAAAAATAAAATTGTTTCAATATTGACAAATACTCCCTCCGTCCCAAAATTCTTGTCTTAGATTTGTCTAGATACGGATGTGTCAAATCATATTTTTGTATTAGATACATCCGTATCTAGATAAATCTAAGACAAGAAATTTGGGACAGAGGGAGTACTCCACATCATCACCACATTGCATTATGAAGTGGTAGTTGTTTCGATACTGACAAATAGATATATCTACAACTTCAGGTAATAAGCTCAAATCAACCACCCCACTGTGGTCTGGAGAAAAGGCAGCAACGTAGTCAAGAACAGTAGTACAAAATTTCAACATTGCATTACAGACAAACCACATTTGCAGGTACACTTCCGGCCCCGACAATTATACACGGAATTGATGTATATGTGCAATTTCCTATCAGCCCCTATCGCTATCAGAAGTAAATAAACAAGAAGAAACCGTTACCACTTTACATCCAGTGACAACGGATCAGGCGGCAGGACCAACGACGTGAAGTCTGCGAAGGAGACGTTCGAAGTCAGGCTGCTCCACGAAGTAGCGTCCGCTATGTGTAAAGATTTCCTCACCTTCTTCACCGATATAGCCTTGAGCCTTCCCTCTTCCTCCACCCTAGCGATGACGTCAAGTGTGATTCGCTGGACCACAGGCAAGGTTTTCCACTCTGGAACATCGTCCCAGATGTCGTCCTCTTCAGTAATGTCCCTCTCGAGCTCCAAACGGAATTTTACCAGGGTCATTGACGTCACTCTAGCTTCGAAGAAGTTCATTGTTCTGTTGAACCCATTCCTCTCGCTGAACCAAGTCTTGAGGAGTTTTTCAAGCCTCGGCAGCCTTGGACTAATTGAGCAGAACGCACATGCTGAGATCAACCGGTCTGACATGTCGTTCACTTCAGACTGGTCTGATAGTAGCTCGATGGCGTCATCAGAAGTCAACAAGGGCTTCATGTGCCCCCCAGAGACATTGGTTTCATGTGCAACTATTGTAACCGATGATCCAGCAACACGCATGTGAAGTAACGGAGCACAGGTTGAGTGGCTGAGGGGCAATATTTGACTTAGGTCCTTGTTAGTAGCCACCAAGCTTCCATTTGCTAAGAGACCTATACTGTGAGGATGGGAAAAGAACACTCTCTGTGCACCAGTAATCTTTAATGCAACACCAGCAGCAACAAGTACCCTCTTCAACCCTGTATACGTGGCATTCAACTGCATATGAGGTGCACCATAAGATTTTGCAGCACTTGATTGATGAAACAAATATTGCATTAAACAAACAGGAGAGTAAAAGATGGTACCAACATATTTAGTCATGACCAGCTTACAAGAAATGCCAAGCACAGTATGTGGCATGTCTACTTTTTACTTGGTGACTGTTATAGGCATAACTGACACACAGCAAACAAAAATACCCAAGAGCAGTTTCTCTCAGTTCTCCAGCATGCAACAATCAAAGATATATGCCGACTTCACTGCTATACATTATAATCTATAATTAACTACAAAAGCAAAACTGCATATGTCTGATTATCCTATTTGTGTCCATTCCTTTTCCACCCAGAAAAACCCCTTGCCCAGGCATGCTAGAACAAAATGTTTGTATCACGTCTTTGATATTTTGGAGTTAAGCTAAATTCAAAATCAAACATTCAGTAAGTTATAATCAAGTCAAACTACATGTAAGTAGAAGCCACTGAAAAGAAGAATCCAATGTATTGGTATCTCACATATTGGGCACTGATTTGCCACCCCTAGTAAAGGCATTTCCACATGTGTATTAATGTACTTAAATGGATAAACATAGCAAATTTAATGCACATAGCAAGTCACACACTGGATAATTCTATCTTCTTCCATTATTACTATTCAACAGTTGAGTAATGCTTAGGTGGCAGTGGCACTGTGCAATCAGGGTCAGAACAAAAAGTGGAACCACACTGTAGGCTTTGATGTACAATTTTGTTGCAAATCTAGGAGAAGATTGTTCCAATTGACACAATGTACACACAACGAAAATTAAACCAGATATATCTGCACTAAATAGTGTCCAGACGACGCTGCAACAACCACAATCAATTCGAAGTCACAATCAAAACTAAAAGGGGGTAAGCAGCAGCTAGATCATTCACCAATTAGAGTAATTAGCTTCATCTTAAAGGTGACACAACTTCAATTCCGTACCGATACCACCGCTAGCATAGCAAGCAAGCAAGCAAGCAAGCAACAGGAAGCAAAAATCTGAAGCAACAGCAAAGCTAAAAGTCAAACCGCGGCACTCACCGACGGCAACTGGAGCTCCGCGAGGCCCCCGCCTGCGCCGTCGGAGACGAACACCTCGAGCGGCCCGACGAGGTCGAGGTCCCTGACGCCGGAGCCGAACGCCAGCGCGCCGTCGCCGGCGACGAAGTCGACCCCGTCGGGCCCGAGCACCTCCTCGACCGCGGGCGCCTCGGGGCGGCTCCAGTCGACGAAGCCGTCGGAGGCCCGCGCGAGCGCGGGCGCGGCGCCCCCCGCGCGGGCGCGGAACTCGTAGCGCTGCACGGCCCCGACGAGCGCGCCCCCGGCGTCGAGCGGCCAGACCCGCACCTCGGCGTCGGGGTCCCAGCCGTACTTGTCGGCGACGGCGTCGACGACGTC